CGACGTCAAAGGCAACCAACTTCTCCCTTGGAAGAAATCTTCTAAGTACCTTGCCATCTTTCGATGGGCATTTCGACGGACCTAGCTGGTCGAAAACATCCTTCAGCTTTAATGGCTGACATTAATGAAACAAGGGTGTCGAATTTAGGAGCCAACACAGACTCTAAGTAATTTCATGAGCTTCAAAAAAGTAGGCAGCTTCAGTGACTTGGTGTTTGCTGGGAATTTCGACCAGGATAATAAAGGAATCATTCATTTAAATTTTCACAAGATGACTTGAAAAAGCTATAGACGAAGTATGTTGTTACTGGATCTGAGTCGAAGAAGCAGTTTGAAAGGACAAGTGTTTTTGTTTTGTCAAAAACGCGCGTTTCGACGACCACGTGAGAAAGTTGTTGCTGAAGGCTTGAGCTGGAATGTTTGAAATTCGAAATAGTTTCTTTGGATAAGAAAGACGCGTGGAAGCCTTAGAGTGTCGAAAGACATGCAAGAAGCAACGTGACTTTTCATTAGAATAATACCGTTATGGTTAGAACATTATAAATAGTTCCTTAGTGTTAGGGAGAAAAGATGATCATAATTCATACAAAATTACTCATAAAATACTCAAGTACCAAGTTACAAAGAAAGAGTTCATTGAGAGTGTACGTATGACATCACATATTTTATCTTTGAAATGCATTTATCAACATAATTTCTTTTGAACCATTCTTTTACGTACTCCTGCAATTGTTCTTAATTTCTTTATGTTCTGTCGAATTGCTTCATTTTTCTGTAAAGCTTTATGTATCAAGTTTCTTTTAAAAGGCTATTTCCTTTACAATCAAGTTCTTTAATTCCAGTTTTAAGTCTTTTCATTGTCAAGTATTTACATTCAAACCTTTTTTGATTAAGACGTTTCATCCAAACCTTTACATTTGAATTTAATTCCAGAAGTCTTTGCATTTTAAGTCTTTACACAAACACATGTACAAGCATTACGTCGTGTTTAACATAAACCGTCAAGTAAGTGTTACAATTAATGTTAAGACACATGTCCTAGGATCAATCTAGTCGATCCTGTGAGTAACCATACATATCAAATTTGTTTGGAAGACTAGCGGTTGTTTCGCCAGAAATCACTGCGAACAAATTGGCACACCCGGTGGGACTGTGTCATAACGTTTTAAGGAAAAACCAGTTGTAATCATAACAGACGGTTTAAAAGACTATTTTCTGGTAAAATACGCAAAAGCGTTGTATGAACCTTAGGAGTGGCAGAATTATTAGTGAATCTCAACCAATACCTAAGAAAAAACATACCAGAAGAATGGTTAACACAACTAATAATCAAGGAGGACAAAATCCTCCACAAGGATCAGGAACGGTCGGTACAAATTCGACAACTAGTTCCCAGGCCATTCCAACATCAATAGGATCAATGGCCGCAACTAATTCGAATCCACCTTACACAGGAACTGCTTCTGTGACTAGTTTGACCAACGTGCCCCCCTTTGGGGGTACATCAGAGTCTATTTCGAATACTCAAAATGGCCCTATTTTGACATATGTAGGAGGCCAAGTACCACCTTCGACACCCCCCAAGCCACCAGGATTCAAAAATTTTAGGCCTTGGACAGAACAATCATATGGAGGGCCCTCATCATCATTCATGTGTGGTTTACACAATGGCACTTCCGCATATACGCAACCTAACGTAAATACTTTTTCGTCGATTCAAAATGTTGGTTCAATTGGTCGAAGCGCCCAAAACCAAGGCCTGTCAGCCCAGATGCCTGCTTTAACAACAAATACCCAGGAAGCACTTAGACAACAAATGGACGCTAGTAACCATGATATGGTTGGAATATTGGCGAGGGAAATGAATACTATTTTTTCTCCCCTAATCCAGAATATAAACAGAACCAATCAAGAAAACACCCAATCATACCAACAGTTGTCAGCGCATATGGCGCGAATAGCGGATTTCTTTGGGAACCCCCAACCATTTGTTCGATGCAGGCAGAATATCATAGGAGTTCAAGAAGAACCAACCATAAACCAGGTTCAACAACCTAGACAAAATATTATCGAAGAACCAAGAGTTGAACCAGTAGGTATTCGACAGCCAAATCCTGAGGAACCACCCAGGAGAATAGCCATGGTCAATAGAGGCCAAGATGCAGATGAAGCTGTTCATAGAATGAGACAAGACAACCTGTTGGTCGAAAATAATATAACAAATATAGTCGAAAGAATCATGGCTAATAATGGTTTAAACACAGGGTTTCGACGCCCCAACTACACTTCCCCTATAGCGGAATTTATTCTGGAAACAGAATTGCCAAGGGGTCACAAGATCCCGAAATTCACAAAATTTTCAGGGGATACAAATGAATCCACTATTGAGCACATAACCAGATATTTGACAGAGTTAGGAAACTTGGCAAACAATGAAGACCTAAGAATAAAATATTTCCCTAGTTCACTAACCAAAAATGCTTTTACATGGTTCACCACATTACCTCCTAGTTCCATAGATACGTGGTCTTACTTAGAGAAACTGTTCCATGCACAGTTTTACGTGGGACAAACGAAGATAAGTTTGAAGGAATTGGCAAGCGTAAAGAGGAAATTCACAGAACCCATAGATGACTACCTGAATAGGTTCCGTCTTCTGAAATCTAGATGCTTTACTATGGTTCCTGAGCATGAGTTAGTCGAAATGGCTACATGTGGATTAGATTATTCCATTAGAAAGAAGTTAGATACTCAACACTTGAGAGATATGGCCCAGTTGGCAGATAGAGTTCTACAGGTCGAACGACTGAAAACTGAAAAGGCCAGGGCAAGTAAAAATCATAAAAAAGAAAGGGTAGCCTATGTCGAAGCCGAAAATGAAGAATATGAGCCGCATAACAATCCTTATGGTGTTGAAGAAGTAGAAATAGATTTGGCTGAATTAAAAGAGGCACCCCCTTACTCTTGTAAAATGTTAACATCTTCGAATGGGAAGAACCCCGTCGAAGAGGAAAAAAGTGATAAATATCCTAAAAGAACTTACACTTTTGATGTCACTAAATGTGACAAAATATTTGATTTACTGATAAAGGATGGCCAAATGATAGTGCCTCCTAACACTAAAGTTCCTCCGTTAGAACAACGGAAGAAAAGAGGTTATTGCAAATACCATGGTTTTCTTGGCCATAAAACATCAGCTTGTTTTCTTTTCAGGGATTTAATTCAGAATGCTATCAAAGATGGACGTCTGAAATTTACTGATAAAGGATAATGTCCTATGAAGGTGGATGCTGATCCTTTGAATGTGGTTGCCACCAACTACGCTGAACCTTTGGATATCAATATGGTGGACATAGTCAACATTGACCAAGCAAAGATCGTGGAAGATGGAAAGCAGGCTACTGATAGCCTAAACACCAGAGGATCCTTCGACACTGACGTTGAAGACCCCCAGACTGGACAAATCAAATTTAGGACTACTGAGGGTTCTTTGAAAATTACTAATGAGACTACTGAAGGTCTCAGAGTTAGGTTCGAAGAAATGGAAATCTCTGAAGTACCCATGGGAGTCAACATGGTCAATCTGGACCAACCCGCTTCAGAGATGGAAGAATTAGAAAACTGCCTGCTGATGGAACAAAAGAAGAAGAGTTTTGGCTACCCAAAGGCAAATGAGAATCTGCACGTATACTTGTGGAGATGCCATGAGAGAAATGCCCACAAGACGTTGTTGTGCCCAAGGTGCTCCATTATGTTGAGTCGAAGAGTGGCTGAAAATTATGAGAGGGTCCAACACATCAACACTCAAGAAAATTGGTGCCAAGAAAGTCAACTGATGAGAATATACCCAAGGCCAGGCGAAACGCTTTTGGTTTTCATACTCTGATGTTACAAAACAGAATCAGAAATCCTGATGTGTCCAAGATGTGGTGCAGTATAAAACAGGATTTTTAGAGAGTTTCATGGTAGAATCATTATCTAAGATGGAGCAATGTGTTTCTACCATCAAACTCTCTAAAAATCCTGTTTTATATGGAAGAACCAAGCACATAGATGTGAGGTTTCATTTTCTAAGAGATTACACAAAGGAAGGTATAATCAATATCTTCTACTGCAGGAGTGAAGATCAGATTACAAATATAATGACCAAGTGTTCGCAGTGATTTCTGGCGAAACAACCGCTAGTCTTCCAAATAAATTTGATATGTATGGTTACTCGCAGGATCGACTAGATTGATCCTAGGACATGTGTCTTAACATTAATTGTAACACTTACTTGACGGTTTATGTTAAACACGACGTAGTGCTTGTGCATGTGTTTGTGTAAAGGCTTAAAATACAAAGACTTCTGAAATTAAATTCAAATGTCAAGGTTTGGACGAAACGTCTTAATCAAAAAAGGTTTGAATGTAAATACTTGACAATGAAAAGACTTAAAACTGGAATTAAAGGACTTGATTGTAAAGGAAAGAACCTTTTAAAAGAAACTTGATACATAAAGCTTTACAGAAAAATGAAGCAATTCGACAGAATAAAGAAATTAAGAACAATTGTAGGAGTACATAAAAGAATAGTTCAAAAGAAATTATATTGATAAATGCATTTCAAAGATAAAATGTGTGATGTCATACGTACATTCTCAATGAACTCTTTCTCTGTAACTTGGTACTTGAGTATTTTATGAGTAATTTTGTACGAATTATGATCATCTTTTCTCCCTAACACTAAGAAACTATTTATAATGTTCTAACCATAACTGTATTATTCTAATGAAAAGCCACGTCGCTTCTTGTATGTATTTCGACACTCTAAGGCTTCCACGCGTCTTTCTTATCCAAAGAAACTATTTCGAATTTCAAACATTCCCGCTCAAGCCTTCAGCAACAACTTTCTCACGTGACCGTCGAAACGCGCGTTTTTGACAAAACAAAAACACTTGTCCTTTCAAACTGTCTTCTTCAACTTAGATCCAGTAACAACATACTTCGTCTATAGCTTTTTCAAGCCATCTTGTGAAAATTTAAATGAATGATTCCTTTATTATCCTGGTCGAAATTCCCAGCAAACAATCTCGTAATACTCTTTCGATCATCCACATCTCTTGCATAATCACTATCACTAAACCCACACAGATCTGTCCTTTCTCCTTTCTTATAGAACAAACCAAAATTCTTAGTACCTTGAAGGTACCTGAGAATTCTTTTAGCAGTAAGAAGATGTGTCTGCCTTGGACGTTCTATATATCTACTGATTAAAGAAACAACATGAATTATGTCTGATTGTGTGGTTGTCAAGTACATTAAACTGCCCACGATTCTTTTGTAAAAAATGTTGTCCACCTCTTTTCCTCCTGAATCTTTTGACAATTGCAAACTAACCTCAACTGGTGTGTTGACAACATTGCAATGCTTCATCTGGAACCTGTCTAAGACATCCAACACATATTTTTTTTGACAGAGAAATATTTCAGCATTGGATTGAACCGCTTCAATACCCAAAAAGTAGTGCATCATTCCAAGATCAGAAATTTCAAACTCACACATCATAGATTGCTTGAAATTTTCAACCATGGCATTATTATTTCCCGTATAAATTAAATCATCCACATATAAGCAAGCAATAATCATCTTTGCCCCATCTCCAAACTTTGAAAACAACGTATGTTCATATGGACATTTATTAAAACCCTCCTTTGAAAAATAAGCATCAATACGACTATACCAAGCTCTTGGAACTTGTTTTAGTCCATATAATGTCTTTTTTAATTTGTAAACTTTGTGCTCACTTCCAAATTTTACATATCCAGGAGGTTGGTCAATAAATACCTATTCTTCTAATTCGTCGTGGAGAAACGCGAATTTTACATCCAATTGGTAAATAGGCCATGAATATTGAGTGGCCAAAGAAATCACCAACCTGATTGTATCATGGCGTGCAACAGGAGCGAAAACCTCTTTATAATCGACACCATACTCTTGCTTGTAACCTTTTGCGACCAATCGTGCCTTATATTTGTCGACTTCACCACTTTCTTTCAGCTTCGTTTTGAAAACCCACTTAACACCAATGATTTTTTGTCCTCTTGGAAGTTTTGTCAACTCCCAAGTATTATTCTTTTCAATAAACTCAATTTCAGCATCCATAGCTTAATGCCATTTAGACTCTTTGCCAGCATCTTCAAAATCTACAGGATCACAATCTGCAAATAGTGAAAAATGAATTTGTGGATCCTCGGTATTACCAGTTACCTCAAAGTCGGACATCTATGCAGGCCTTCTCCTATTACGTTGAGTTCGCCTCTTAGTTTCTTCTATTTCCCAATCTGAATTTGCATCAGAATTTGGAGAAACAGTGGAAGTAATCTGACTTGGTGTGGGTTGTTGACTTTTTCCTCCTTCTTCTTCATCAAAATCAACTTGGACTTTCTGCTCAATGTTGTCATCACTCCATGGCCAGAACTTGCTTTCCTCAAAATTCACATCACAATTGATGATGATTTTCTTGGTGGACGGATTGTACAGCTTATAGGCTTTTGATTGGTTACTTACACCAAGAAATGTGCATTTTTCTCCTTTGTCATCTAGCTTTCTTCATTTCTGGTCTGGAACATGAGCATATGTGATGCAGCTAAAAATTTTCAAATGCTCAATACTTGGCTTGTGTCCATTCCATGCTTCTTCGGGTGTCATATTCTTAACAACAAATGTAGGACTTGTGTTCAGCAAGTGAATGCTCCAGGTTATCGCCTTTGGCCAAAAATGTTTTGGCATTCCGCTCATCTTCAACATTGTTCGAACCATATTCATTATGGTTCTATTCTTCTTTTCTGAGACGCCATTTTGTTGTGGTGTGTAAGTTGTTGTAAGCTGCTTCCGGATTTCACGTGTCTCACAAAAAATTACAAACACTCGTGAGTTGTATTCACCACCACAGTCGCTGCGTAGGATTTTAATTGACATCTCCGCTTCGTTTTCAGCAAGCGCCTTAAATTGTTTGAAGACGGATAGAGCTTCGAATTTTTTTCTGCAAAAGATAAACCCATGTTTTTCGACTAAAATCATCAATAAACGTTATGAAGTAACATTTACCACCATTTGATGTTGGAGTGATTGGCCCGCAGATGTCAGAATGAATCAACTCCAAGACTTTCTTTGCTCTCCATGATTTTCCTACTGGAAAAGTTTCTCGATGTTGCTTTCCAACAACACATTCTTCACAAACTTGGGATGATCTTCGAAACAGTGGCAGACCTTTCACCATATTCTTCTGTTGGAGAGTTTGCAATCCTCCAAATATCAAATGACCATAGCGAAAATGCCATAGCCATGTCTCATCTTTCAATTCCGTTGAAAGACTAATTTGGGAAGTATTTCGGAAACGTAGCGGGAACATGCAATTTGATGTCATGTTTATTTCAGCAACCAAGCTCTTTTCTTTATTCTGGATACAACACACCCTATCTTTGATATTAATCTCAAATCCCTTCTCCTGGACTTGTCCAACACTAAGAAGGATAGTTTTAAAATCAGGGGCAAAGTAAACATTACTAATACAATATTTTGTGTTGTCTTTTGTATATATTTTGACATTTCCTTTGCCAATGATTGAAACTGTAGAGTTATCTCCAAAATTTATAGTGCTTCGGAATGATTCATCCAAGTCTGAAAACAACGATTTATCTCCGCACATGTGGTTGTTACAGCCTGTGTCTAAGTACCACATACTTCCATGGGTTTTCTCCTCCTTGTGACATGCCATCAAGAGAGAAATATCTTCTTCCTTTTCTTTCGCATAGTTAGACTTCTGACCACGATCATGATGCAATTTGATTCTGCACTCAGACTTGTAGTGACCACACCTGTGATATCGAAAACATTCAACATTGGATTTGTCATTGTTTGTCTTGTTGCCTCTGAACTGACCGTAGTTGTTACCCTTTCGCGTATCTAATGCATAATCCTCATCTAATTTGTGATATGGATTCTTGTCCTTCCACTTCCCTTTTCCTATATCGGAACTTTTAAAGGTTGAAGCTTTCAAAGTTTGTTTCTCGGTATCCTGCTGGATGATTTTTTGCTCATGAACCGACAAGGAACTATGCAACTCATCAAGTGTCAGTTCATCAATGTTCTTTGATTCTTCAATAGAGCAAACAACAAAATTGAATTTGGGCGTCATTGACCGAAGAATCTTCTCTACAATCTTCACGTCCTCCATTTTTTCTCCATGAACTCTCATTTTGTTAGCCACTGCCATGTTCTACACAAATAATCAACGACAGGTTCACCTGTTTTCATTCACAAAGTTTCGAATTCTGTTCGAAGTGCTTGCAGTTGCACACGCTTTGCCCTTGCATTTCCCATATACCTTCTTTTCATAGAGTCCCAAATCTGCTTGGAGGAGTCATTACAAAGAATCGTCTTCAAGGTTGCTCGATCGATGGCTTGAAATCTTTGCCTTCAAGTCCTTTAACTTCAAAGCTTCTCTTTCTACTTTTTGTGCATTAGTCAATGCAACTTCATCTCCTATCTCTAGTACTCCAGATTCCACAACCTATCAATACTCTTAGACCTCAAGAAATTTTCCATGAGCATGCTCCAATGGTCATAGTGACCATCAAAGCGGGGGATAGCAGCTTGCACAAAACTATTGTCGGAAGCCATGTGTGCTAAAAGAAAAACAACTCTGCAATTTTTTGGTTCTCTCCCTCACAGTGTTTCTCTCTCAGTGCACTCCCTCTCACGTAACCTAGCTCTGATACCACTAATAGATATTGATAACTGAATTCAAGAGTTTGCTTTTATTGAAAATAGATAACCTTATAAATAGGCAGTACAGCAGAACAATTCAACAAAGCCACAAACTTAAAATCTCTAAAAACTAACTACCCACTAAACAAACTAACAACACTAACAACACCTATAAAGACTAAGTCTTTTAAACTATTAAAAAACAAATAATTAAATTAAGCTAACAGATAATGTTATGATTTCTATCCCATTATCACTTCAGTTTCATGAATCACTTTAATTTCAAATATATCTTACTTTAAACGCAAACAAATCATCACATTCAAGATAATATTTTTTGAAGTTTCGTTTGTCTGTCATGCTAGATGTCATTATTTCTTTTGTACAAGCTAGATGTTATTATTTCTTTTGTACATATGTATGCAAACAAGATTATCATTATTCTTTCATGATCAAATGTCTAGCCTTTTCTCATTTTTGAAAAAGCAGACAACTTTATTCTCCAGATTAATAATTGCCCAAGCAAGCATCAAGTATTCTTTAACAATGGGGGGCCTATTTGTATAGAAAATATTGGCAGACGTGTAGTGTATTTATCAAGATGATTCAAGGCTTTCCTGAGTAACCCCATGGGTTGTTCTTTGCCCAATTCCACTGGTCCCTGCACATCTCCTCTACACCATATTTCGCCCTGAAAAAAAGGTCCAAATTATTACTAACCAAACAAGAATTATAGTGTAAAATCAAAAGTTGTTTATCAGATATGAAGTATAATGAAGCATGATTGGTTCTGACTTAAAAACGCTGAAATCAAGTACTTACTTCCAACCGAGTTCTTTCTCGGCTTTCTCGGTAGATGCATAAACCTCTGTAGCATCTCCTGGCCTTCTTGGACACAATTTCAAAGCAATTTTCTGAAGATATAATATCCAATGTAAAAGAGAGAAACCTTCATGCATTATATCATTTTCTGCATTACTGAACATAAATATACTTGTATATCAGAAGATACATGATTACCTTGCCAGAAGCTTTCTCAAATGCAGCAACCATTTCAAGCACAGATGAACCACAACCAGTTCCCAAATTGTAAGCAGTACAACCTGAAAACCAATTTGTCCCATTTTATTTTTTTATCATAGAGAGATGCAAGACAATCAATTTACAAACGCAAAAACACTTATAACTTCCGAGTATCATGTTGCAATTCGAGTACATGCCTAATGTAACAATCTTACTGATAAAAACAAGTTTATTCGTATCAGTAAATAAAGGGAGGTAAGGAACAACTCACCTATGTTTTCCGTTGTGAAAAGCTTTCTGAGGGCAGCAATGTGACCATCTGCTAAGTCCATCACATGGATATAGTCCCGTACCTTATTTTATTTTACAAAAAAGAAAGAGGGTCAACAGTTCTGCAGTAGTAAGAAATACATATCCGTTGTTATTTGCTTTGTCGCTCACTAGAAGTGAACTACTATGTTTAAGCTATTATTTGCTTTGTCGCCCATTATAGAGAAGTGAACTACTATATTTAAGCTAATAAAGCATTTTGACTGTTGATAAAAAAAGTTCTAGATTTATATTTCATGGACAGACAAAACAATCACTGATGCATACTCTCTTAATTTTCTAACCATGATTTGAAATGCCTCAACTATTTTTTTTTTCTTCTATAATGTGAGTGTCATTGTTACATGGTGGTCTAAAGAAATAATTGCAGTATATGTGTGACTTGTACATACCGCAGAGCCATCTCTTGTAGGATAGTCATGACCATATACATTGAGCTCAGGTAATCTTCCAACAGCTACTTGCTGTATATAAGGCATGAGATTATTTGGGATACCCCTGGGATCTTCACCGAGTTTACCACTTTCATGTGCCCCGACTGGATTGAAGTATCTCAGTAAAATTATTTTCCATTCTGGCTCAGCTTTCTGAATATCTCGTGCAATTTCCTCAAGGAAAAGCTGCAATGTGAAGTGTCGAAGGAAAAACAAAGACAATTCATTAGAACCCAAAAAAAAGTAACTGTAATTCAGTGAGTTTACTAAATTGAAAACTACCAGGTTTAAACCATCAAAAAAGAAAACAAGAAGAAAATAATTAGAAGTAACCCGAACAAGCAAATGGTTACCTTGGTCCTTCCATAAGGGTTCATGGCTTGTAACTTGAAATCCTCCACACATGGTATCTTTTCAGGTTGGCCATAAACAGTTGCAGATGATGAGAAAACCATCTGTGAAGAAGCACAAACATGTTAGGCCAATCATACAATCAAGAGACCTCGGCCGTCATATGAAAACTCAAACGGCTCACATTCTAACTTCACAAAATCAACTTCCATCCACAATCATAATCATTCACAAATATTATAATCCATGACTGCACAGAATACAAACATCCAATTCTATCACACCGCATTACTAATTTTCAAGACGTCGCGATCTTGGCGATCTTGACAGTTGGAATGAAAATCAGACTAATTAGATTTAAGTTATACTTTAAATTCAATTTGATTAAGTTAAAATATAAGTTTATGTTAGGTTACAATAAAGAAAATGCCAGAATTAATTCTAGTTGTATAAAATTAATTTTAACATATTTGATAGCGCTTTTGATTTGGTTCCATTTTACAAAAAGCCAGAATTAATTCTAGATGTATAAAACTAATTTTGATATGTTTAATAGCTTTTGACTCTGAAAGTGATTTTTAGAATAGCTATTTCTAGATTTCACTAAAATAAAATTTACACCTGTGAAACTTTTATTCCTTTGTTATAATCACAAGCAAAACAGAATCATATACTATACTTTTCGTCTAGAAAATAGAATTTGAACCATAAACATGTAAAATAGGGTAAAAAACAAAAAACAAGAATCGAACCTTTTTGCAATTATGCTTAGCCATAACTTCATAGAGATTGACAGTTCCAACAAGATTATTATCGAAATAACGACGAGGATTTGCAACACTTTCACCAACAGCTTTCAGTCCAGCAAAATGAATCACAGCATCAAATCTATTGAATCAC